GCCTGTGCCTAGAAGCTGGAATACTAACCCTACATTTTCTTGAAGGAGGTGCATGGTTTCTGGTCTAATTCCTAGGTCTTTGATCCATTTTGAGTTGATTCTTATGCAGGGTGAAGGATTAGGGTCTAGTTTCATCCTTTTACATATGGATAACCGGTTTTCCCAACACAATTTGTTTAAAAAGCAATCTTTCTCCAATATGTGTTTTTGGCACCATTGTCAAGGGTCAGATGACTATGTCTGTGTGAGCTTGTCTTTGTGTCTTCTATTCTCTGCCATTGGTCTGTCTGTTTTTATGCAAGTACCATGCAGTTTTTGTTACCATAGCTCTGTAGTGTAATTAGAAAGCACATGTTCTCGTGCATTCAATATTCTTCCTTTGGTTTAAAATTACTTTGGCTATTCTGGGTCTTTTATTCTTCCAAATGAATTTTAGACAGTTGTTTTTTTTTATAGTTCTGTGAATAATGTCTTTGATTCAAGTTGTATTTTTATCTGGAGTTTGAGGCCTGTTCCAAACTCACATAACTGGCAGAATTCAGTTTCTCATCATTGCAGGGCTGAGGTCCCTGCTTCTTTGCTAGATATCCACCAGGGACTTCTCCCAGCTCCTGGAGGTTGGTCCCATTGTCTGCCACATGTGTTCTTGCATAGTTAAAGTCAGGGAAAGAGACTCTTCCTCTTGTCAAATTCCTCTCAGATGTGAATTATTGTTCCAAGAAAAGCTGAGAATCTTTGAGGAATCACTTGATTAAGCCATTCTTTAGTTCCTCAATGATAATCTCCCTTTTTTAATGTCAACTGATTAGAGACCTTAATTACATCAGCAAAATCCCTCTTCCAGGTGACACAACATACTCATGGAAATGAACATATTTACAGTCTTATGCACAAGAGGAAGGAAGTAAACAGGTGTGGGTGTTAGGGGCAGAGATTTGGGAGGCCACCTTAGAATTCTGGGTTGGATCAAATAACTGAGAACTATAGCTCAGCCAAGTTGACACACCAAAAAAAGCGATATAGTTCTGAAATATCAAGTAAAAATTTGGTTTGAATTTTGTGTTGTAAATTTTATTATGATCTTCTTTTGTAGAACTGGTGTTCTCTGTTTGTGGAGGTTTGCATGTCTGTATTTGAAGGAGACACACACTTAGTTGATCAGAGTGTGATCCCTTTATCTTTTCAAGTTATCCCACTTTTGTACATAAAGATAAGAAAAGTGAGGCCCTGGGTTTTAATAACACTAGACAGAGAAGCAAAAGTTAAATGCTCATCCCAGACCACACCCTCTTAATATCATTTCTTTGCCTTTCCACTGGTAGAAAGTTCTTTTTCCTGAGAGCCACTTTTCCTGAGCAGGAATGGGAGCTTGGGGGAGGGTAATGGACAGAGATGTCAGCCAGAGTTTGGGCAGAATAACAGTACGAATGCCCTTGGAGTATCTTTTGTAATCACGAGATGGAAAGATATCTGATACTGTTCTTAGTTCATTTTATGCTTAATTTATTTTCTTAGTGCCATAGAAATTCAGAGCTGTAAGGGATCTTAGAGAAGTATCTTGTCTCATTCTCCCTTTGGGGAAAAAGATCATCTGACAGTAGTACCATAACAAATCAATAACTTAATGGACATATAAATGGTTTTATAGAAAACATTGGTTGTTTTTTTTTTTCCCACCAGTTTCTTAATTGCTTCTTAAACATCCAATTCAGTGATTCTCAATTTTTTCCCCCGCCATAACGAATTAGAGAGAAAGGTAGCACATTTATGTCGGTGACTGAAGCTAAACTCCAGCAGAAATCTGCAGAAGTGACTTTAAGCTGAGAATCATGAGCATCCCCCAGACCTCTCATAGTTACTATCAGGGAGCATTGAAAATCTTGGGGTAGCGGTGAGAGGGGAGAGTATATGAGGCTGGAGTAACCTCCTAGGTGATTCTGAAGAGCTCCAGTTGAGTCACTTAGATAGTAGTAGCTTTTGTTTTATTATCTCTATCATTGAAATGTCCTTTTATTTTTCTTATTATTTCTGCATACAATCTTGGTGTCATCAAAGAATCATCTAGTCTATCTCAGCATCTAATTCGTAAGTTACTTCTGTTCCATGCAGGCAGTTGGCCATTCTGACTTGTTACCTAGAGCTGTGGCATGACGAGGCACTGTTGTTTTCCAGAGATCTTGGGCTATTATCAGGCAGTTCCTGATTTTCCTTGACTCAGGCAAGAACTTGGTCCCTTGTAAGTTGTCACTGACTGGGAAGGCTGTGGCATTTCTCCCAATTTTATTCTTGCCTGGAATTAAGATCCCTGATTCTTTTAGGCTAATATTACTGAAGGTTTCAGGATCTCCATTCTAGTCACCTTCCTTTGGAGCAGTTCTGTTACATCTTTAATGTGATGAGTAAAACTGAACTCAGGAAAGGGTTTGTTGGTCATATCTCTTATCTCCTAAGAATGACTGCTACTATAGCTTTCAGACAGGTCCAGCTTCTCCGGGATACATTCTGCACATGACTGACAAAGGAGATTTTAAATAAGATACTTTTTCTTCTGTAGTTGTACCTTCCAGCCACTTGTCTTTGCTCTCAGAATAGCATACAACCTCCTTTAACAAGCCGATAAGACCCAGAATGATCTTGCCCCACAAACCCTTTGAATCTGATCTTCTATCACTAAATTCCATATTTGGCTCCTTGAACTTGCAGTTCCTTTGACATCTCCTCTTCCCTGTCTTCACATGGCAGGCTTCTGCCCATCCAAGGCTCACTTCCAGTTCTTCACCAAAGAGACCTTTTCTTACTGCCCCCAAGAGTCTGTCTTCCACTGGTCCTCCTCCTCAAGCTCAGAACCTTTGTACCTTTTACCGTTGGACCTTCAAGAGCCTAGAGGAAGGAGTGCTATGATGGGCTTCCAATAAATGCTGCTGTGGAATAAGTGAATAGTTAGTAGTTGAGCAGGGCTGGATGCACCTCTTATTTTTAGTAATAGATATTTGTTAATATATCTTAAGATTGTGGGTGAGGGCAGGGGACACCAGGAAAATGAGCATTTCATTATCAACACATGCTACAGAGATACTGACTATTTGAAGGTAGAGCCAGCGGGATTTGCTGCCCAACTAGATGTGGGTATGTGAGAAACCAAGGAGTCAGGTAGAACTCCAAGATTTTTCACCCTGTGGATCTGAAAAAATGGAGTCATCACTATTGAAATGAGGAAAACTGAGAGGGGAGTTTGGGTATGCAAGGGGCCCATCAGAAGTGAATTTGAGACATGGAAAGGTAAAAATGCTTATAATCCTTAATTTTGCTCTGTGTTAGTCTCCTCAGGTTTAAGTGAGAGTTAATAATTTCTCATGATAGTTGTGAGTTTTTAAATAGTTAATGTACATAACTCAAGGGAAAATAATAGAGAAAGTGCGTTAAGAAAAGTAAATTGTTTAAGCATAGTTATTAGGTCATAGAGCTTTTACAAAATCCCTTGGGCATGAGATAGGAAAACCTAAGTATACTGCACAAAATTTTTTCCCGGTAGGATTTTATGCTGTATAGAAGTGTTTTCTTTGGTGTAGGATGATGTTCAGTTATACAGTTGAAAATCAAGGTATTGACTCAGTATCTGAAAACATCTCTCCTGGTAGTATACTGCAACCAAGGAGCATCAAAAAATTATATTCCATTCACTCACTAAACTGCCTTGTAACCTTCAACAGCACATGTATTGAGTCTCTAATATGGACAGGAAAATATGCTAGATACTGAAAAGCTAATAGGGCCAAGATAGAATTTATAATGTTGTTATATTCTGGGGATTAATGTAAGCATTTTATCAAGGTTTAACATTATAAGCTTGATAGAAGTACATGGCTGTCATTGTGGAGTGAAAGCCCATGAAGTTCCTCACATGCTGATACTGAGGGCAGAGCAGGGGAGGATTTGAATGCCTAGTGTTGATTTCACTGGAATGCCAGCACTTGCTGGGGACTGTATTGAAAGGAGTCCTTCAGACAGCACGTCCCCTCTGTACTGGTAAACTTTGAAATGCTGTCAGTGCATTTACTTGGCTTTATTGTTACAGAAGAAATCTCATAGCTAAATTACAGTCTTAAGGGTTTATGAGATGCAATTAAACTTAATTTTTAAAAAGTTCTCAACAAATCTTATTTGAAGTCTTAATATCTCAATTCCCTTTATATAGGATGTGTGATACATTTTCACCATATAAGTAACATGTGACCCACTTAATAACAGCTTCCTTAATAGCCCAAAGCTTCTTGTGTTTATGTGTAAATGATCCTTTTGAAATCTAATTATTCATGAATAAGGCTTCTATTCCACAGTCAGTTTGAGGAAAGGCAGGGCTCATCTGTCTTGTCTTAGTCACACTAAGGGGAAGGACATAGTGGTAGAGCCAGCTCCCTCACCTGGGTCCCCTGAGCCAGTCTGTACAGGAGCACTTCACTGTTGCTTGAAGGTAAATTCTAGGCTCTTTATGCATACAGAGATCCAACACATGAGAGTGGTAGTTAACATTTGCTGAGCACTTGGTAAGTACCAACCACTGCTTTAATTCCTTCATCTATATTAGCTTTGTTAATAGTCACAGCAGTCCTTCAAGGGGTAGATCCTGTCATACCTGTGTAACAGTCAAGGACGCTGAACAGAGGCATTGGTTGAGACGTTGTCTAAGGTTACAGATTGTCCGGTTGGGTTTCAAACCCCAGCAATATGGCTCAGAGCTCTGTGCTCAGCTGCTGTGCTGGGCTGACTCCTTCCATAGAGCTCAGGCTGGAGAAAGTGTGGCCAGAGACACTCAAACTGCTGCAGCTTTTGTTTCCTAAACAAAGTCTGTTTTACAAATTTGTCTCTTATGTGTGTATGGATTAAGGCCATAGTTGATTATTTTTATGGTTCCCCCTACATAAGATATATTTGAGATTACTAGTGGGATTTAAAGTAATTATAAGAAATATTTATTGTTTTTTTGGTTTCTTTCTTCTCAGTGTCATGGTTTTCTCCAAATGAAAATATTCTCGTCGTTATTTTCCCAATTTTGGCTATACTTCTCTTCTGGGGACAATTTGGCATTTTAAGTAAGTATTTATTTCTACTTTTCTTTTATGGTTTAGTGATGAAATTGTTATTTCTAGGAGGTTATACTAGTAAAATAATTTGTTTAAGTTGTATTAGGAAGAGTGTTATTTGAGTAAAGAAGTAATGCAGTTTCAATACTCACAGTCTCCTTGAAGTACATATTGTCCCCCATATTGTGCTACAGTTCACCTTTAATTCCTAAGAAGGTGTCTCTTTTTTTTATTTATTTGTTGTTGTTTTCTAAATCTTTAAAGAACAAATAGAGGGACTACTAGTAATAGCAGCACTTTACACTCATGTAGCATTTTTATATTTACAGAACATTTACCTACATTTTATTTGATAAACAGATGGTCACAGGCCTCATTAATGTTGAGACAGCGTGATGTGATCCTCTGGAGCCTTAGGATTCCCCTCTCTTCATTTTCCCCGTTTGAACTTCTCTGTAGACACATGTTCACTCATGGAGAAGTCCCATTGAACCATGTTTTGTCACCTTCAATGTGCAGCCTCATAGCCCTTAAGGAAGCAGCCACGGGAAAGCCATATTCTTTGAGCTCACTTTACTGTGATAGTCATGTAACCAAACCTCAGGGAAAATCTTAATGCTGTGTCAGATTCAGCATCAACAGTCTAGAACTTTCATTACAAGGTAAGTAGTATGGTTAATGGTTAATATGCAGTATGGTTAATGTTCACACTCAACCATATGGCTGCACCAGGTTGGTAAAGGAAATTTACTAAATTAGTGAATTTCTGAGGTGACATTCTAAACTTACTTTAAACTTTGAAGACATAAGATTTCTACTCTCCCTGTAGCACCCAAATAGTCACTGAAGACCAGTAAGCATCTATACAGAAGGAGTAAACAGTGCTAATGTAATTTATTGTCCAATCTTAAGAAAAGTAAAATGTGGTAAAATGTTGCAGTAGATTGGCCTCTGCGTATGTTATGGATTTTATTTTTCCTCAGAAGTTTAAGCTGTGTGTATCCTCAGTGATATGTAAAAAATGTAAGAGAGGGGACTGATGATATATTTTAAGAGCTTTTCCCAATGTATAGCCCTCTGGAAATGCTAATGATTTCAGAGATGTTCTCAACTTTTTGTCTAAAAGAAAAAAAAGAGGGAAACAAAGGACTGACAGTGGCAACTGTCAAAACATCTCACAGCTCTTACCTTCAAGAGGTGTCTAGACCTCTTTTGGAAATTATCTTGAAATTTCAATAAATCTTTTATCTCAGGAAAAAAAAAAAAAAAAAACTGGTACAGCATCAGGGCCTATTGTGTCATCAGTGATGTTAGGGAAAGCATTCCACCATATTGGCAGACCTAGCTTTAAGGGCCAAGTCATATGATTTGGGCTGGGAACAAACTATTTTTATGATTATAAAATTATTTCACATTAGTGGGATTTGTTGAGTTTGGATTGTTAGAAATTTGCTGATCATGGCATTATCCTTAGTGAAATTACATTTAGTGGAATTATGCCAAGGTAAATCTGTTCACTGTCAGCCAAATTTTTACAAAATAAACTTAATTGTTTTGTTGTTGTTGTTCTGACTTTAAAAAGTAATACAGTTGTCTTAGTATCCATGGGGGACTGGTTCTGGGAACACTATATACCCAAATCCACTGATGCACTGACACCGGCCTGTCTTATTAAATGGCCAAGCATTTGCATTTAACCTCCACACATCCTCCTGTATACTTTCAATCATCCCTAGATCACTAGATTATTTATAGTACTACATGCAAAGTAGATGCTATGTAAATAGTTGTTGTATAGTTTTTTTAGAGAATGATGACTGGGAAAAAGTCTATACAAAATCAGTGCAGATATAACTTTATTATCAATATTTTTGGTTCACAGTGGACTGAGTGTGTGAATGTGGAACTCACAGCTATGGAAGGTTGGCTGTTACATTACTTTAGAACACTTTGTACAATATAGGAATTTTTAGGGAAAAATAAAAGTCATCTGCAGTGTCACAACCTAATAATATGCTATTGGTGCTTTCTAGAGAATTGCCTATTTCCTTCCCTGTCTATTTATTTTTGTTATCATTGTTTTAAAAACAGAAACCAGGAAAGGACTCGTGCTGTTTATGTTCTTATACACCCTAATGTTCAGGATGTGTCTTTATAACTCTTGTTAGAATTCTTCTCCCCTTCTACGGATGGACAATCATTTACTTAACTCTTATCTTGATGGATATTAGGGATGTTTCCAAGTTTTTTGATACTATGAAAATAACTCTGCTAACAATATGTAAGCCAGGAGGTGGCAAAGATATTTTAAGCCTCCTGATTCAGACTGCCAAAATGTTTTCCAGAACCATCTCATCAGTTCCTACCATTGCAGCGGAGAATACCTGTCTTTCACCTCACAGTCCTGACATTATTATAATTGTAAAATCTCTGCTAATTTGATGGATTATAAAGTAAAAACCACCCTATTTTCATTTTCATGTTTGTGTTTATGAGGTTGGCTGTTCATTTTTATATTTTTTCTACTGCTGTATTTTAAGGAACATGTTTATGAGCCTAAAGAACTATTTGTGGAGGTTTATTATTTTGGCACATCTTAAACAAGTAAATGTGGTGACTGTGCGTGTGTGGAAGAGGCACTTCCACACTGGGTTCATCCAGCCTGCCCTCCATTTAGAGGCGTTGATCATATAGTGACTAAGTGTGGAGCCCTTGCCCTGTAGGGCAGGCACTGTGCCAAGTGTGCTGCTCCTGAAATCATGTTGATTTCTCCAGGGACTTTGGGTATACATACTGTGGTCATTCCCATCTTGTAGATGAGAAACTGAGGCACTGATCAGTTGGGCAGTTTGCCCACAGCCACCCAGCTGTTTCCTGGTAGCCCTGGGATTTGAACTGTGCTGTTGGTTTGCTGTTACTCTCTACTGCTTCCCCATCTTGAATTTGAGAATTTTCTTTCTGTGAAGGCTAACACCATGTGTAGGTACACACTTTGAGTAGATGTTAACTGATTGATAAGCAGACTGTTGACCTATTTTGTTTGTTCTATGAATACCCATGACAGGGTGCCTGCTGACTGCTGGGCACTGGGCTACATGACTGAGATGTGGAAGTGAGCGCACATCGCCCCTGGCTTGTAGACCTGCATGTCAGTCATTCCAATAGAGGGGTGGGTGTGTCTGACTGTGCTGCCCCTAGATTTGAACCAACTTTTCTTTTGGAGCCCATTGTAAGAGGCCTCCAGGTTATGGCCTGGGCATCCCACCAAAGAGGGGAGCCCCTATGTTTTCCACCTGAATGCTTGTACATTTCCTGGAATCCAGGATGTCACAGCCCCTGGGGTGTTAACAGTCACTCAGCTCCATGGCTTTTATTTTCTACATTTTTAGTTGTCCTTAACTTTCCTGATGACCATTTATGGTCTGTACTTGACTACAGGAGATTTCTCTAAGTGGTTTATCCAGCTCTGCCTGTGAGTCTTTTGTGGTCCAAGATGAAACCCAGACCTTTGTGAGGCTGAACTTCCTGGAAAGACAGTGGGTTATGCTGTCACTTTGAGGAGAAGGAGTTTCTGTGTTCCACTGCATAATTCTTGACACTGTATTAACATACATTCTGAATTCCCTAGAATTAAGCACTGAACCTTAACCAATAATATTGCTTTCAGACACTTGGTTTTTGTTCTGAAAACTATACCAACTCACGGTTTGTTACTCTGCTGACGATTAAGTTCCTGGCTGACTTTTCGCGGTTCTTCTTCCTTAGTCTTTGATCTCAGAACAGCTTCTTTCCATCATTTAGCTGGTTGATGTATGATTGCTAGGACTGCCCACCTAGTCCTCTAGTTCCTGCAGGATTGAGGTGCCACTGTATTCAAAGAACTGGCTGACATTTTGAAAGTCTTTGAAGTAGGCCTATCTGTTCTTCTTTTTCCTGTTCCTTGAACTTTTGTCATGTATAGTGTGTCTTTGCTTTGCACAGATCTGTGAAACCATAAACACAACCATGTAAGCTGAAATTCTGCATAGAAATCTTAATAAAGAATGATAAAATTACTACTATATAATGGCCTTAAAAATCTTTTTTCAAAGCATTAAAAGTGTTTGTATTATCAGTAACAACTGCATTGGAACATGGAACAAAAGTCAAATTAATATTTAGCACATGATATTTTAAAAACTTCGAGGATTGAAATGTTTTGTTAAGCACCGTTTGAACAACTCTTGTATTCTTTTTGTGTAACTGAATACAGAACACACATCCTTTCTGTGCCTTGGTGAATTGTCAGCCTCCCATTTGGATCAAGGTTTCAAAATTTTGTTCTTTGTAGTTTCAAAGTCGTGAAATATATCTGGCAGTCCCTTCAGTGTGACATGGTTTTTGTTTTTGCTTTTGCCAGAGTCTCTTCCTCCAGGACATCTTCTTTCTCTTTTGTCCATCCTCCTCACCTTCCTCATTCTTGCCAGTGAGTTTCCTTCACTGAGTTGCTCTGGCCACATCTTGAGTGTCTACATTCCCACAATCCACTGTTTTCTTCTGCTTTTCCACTGATGGCCCAATTGAAATTCAAATCTAGCATCCTTATTTTTCATTTCTTTGCTCTTTCTTCTTTCTTGCTCAGTTTTCTCTTTTGATAATCCATTATAAAGTAGCATGTGGGTATATCACTGGGAGACCAGAAGATAGTACAAGTATACACTTGAACGGAATGAAGAACAGATGGGCAGTGACCAGTGACCAGTCAGCAACCAGTCTTCAAAAAAAGTGACGTGACTGATCACAATGGACATCTGCTATTTATGGAGGGACTTGTGGACTGAAGAGATAGCGGTGAAGTCTGTACTTTATCTAGTTACTTGGTTAACATATTGTGGTAATTAAAATTAGAACTATACTTTGGGGGGCTTGTGTTTTTTAACTAAATGATGGTAACTGGAATTCATTCACATCAGAACCATTCATGGTGAGGACTGCTGTAGTTCAAATCTTATTTCCTAGACATCTTTCTTTTTTTTTTTTTTTCTAATTTTCTCACCCTTCCTCAAGATTATTCCACAAGGATTTTGGCTACTGGCTCAGAGGTATTTAGGTAGGTGTACCTATGGAAATAATTGTAGGGATATTCAAGGAAAAAATTCTCCCACACAGCAGCCTTGAGGTCCTACTAAGTCTTCAAGTCCAGATTTGAGGACTAGTTTACTAATGAAAGTATTTAGGCCATGAGGGCACATTTAAGAGAAGTAATAGAGCAGGGAATTTCTCCATTGGTTAGAAAAGATCATTCTAGAGAGGTGAGGACATGTATTGAAGTGTACTGAAAGTATCTATGCAAGAAGGTAAAGTTTTCCAATAGGTTATAAAGAATTATTCTGTAACCTGATTGCTGTCCCCTGATAATAGGACTTAATAATGAAGTTTGATGTGAATTCTGTTCAAAAATCTTGAACTCACAGTGTGTTTCCTTGGTCCTGTCTACATTACAGTCACCTCTGAATTAAGTCTTGCTTATGCACTGATTTTATTGTAGGAGCAACTGAACACAACTATAGTTTTAACATTTCACTCTGTTTTAGACATATAGTTGCAGCTTTCTTGACCCTTTCCTAACCATTCCATCCCAGCTTCCTGCATATACTCTGAAACTGTGAAACTTTCCACAAAACCAGGGCACATTTAGAACCAGGAGAAGGAGATTTGTCTATAGCACATCCCCTTCGTTTACACTCAAAGTACTTTCTGCACAAAGCTTGAGCTCTTTTATCTCTGGGTCCCATAGAAGGGGAATGTGGTGTTCAGTCATTATTCAGTTTGACAGAATTGCTTCACCAGAGCAAGCTGGATAGTACATGGAGTTTATAATAAAATTATTTTGTTTGCCTTCTGGCAAGTCACCAATTTATAAATGGCAATTCATTTTTCTCTAGCACCAGTTCGCAAAGCCTTCATTTGTGTGTGTGTTCTACATGAATGTGTTAAATATTTTTAAAATAGTAATTCAAATTTAAATAATTAAAAAAAAATTGAAATTGTAATCTAATTTTAAAAGTTATTAGATGTACTTTATCCTACATTGAAGACAGCATTGGTTTATAACTCAACAGATACCAAAAGGATTCTAAGGTACTTTCCTGGAGTATCAGAAACTGTATAATAATTAAATCAAACACTTGTCTCCCTTTATGATTCATTCTTCATCTAATATGTATTTTTATCACACTGGTAAGCTTTTGTGTCTCTGCTTACTCACCGATCACTTGGCTGGGGACTAAATATCACATCTTTGAGCAGGCATGGCTTCTTGGATTTTTAGATCTTGTTAGGTAGACTGTACTTTCTCTGGACCTATATGAGTGTATCAATTCAGTCTTTAGAGTATCATGAAAACGTAACATGATAGATTTAATTTTATCTCCAATTGACTTGGTAATTATACTAGATTTTGCCAGCCTCAGCCTGCATTCTATCTTAGATGCGCTCCCTATCACTCACAAAGAGACCAGAAAATCTCCTCAATTCATAACATTAGCACTGTCTTTAAATGGCTAGAGGGACTTGCTTCATCCACATGAAAGTGAAGGATTTAATGCCTAAAGGAACTTTCTTAGACTAGAGGAGACCTTTACCTTTTATTTAACTGGGAGGAAGACATGAGAACAAAGCCCCGGTCATTTACATCCCCAAACACATTCTCACCCATTAGAATCTGAGGGCCTCCAGGCCTGCCTTGAGGTTGTTTTTATGTACACTGTCAGTGAGTAGAATAGTGATTGTCACATGGGTTGATAGTGCTCAATAAGTTCTTGTTTAATAATGTAATCCACTTGTTCCCTGATTTGGACTAATAAAAGGGCCTGGTACATTGTAGGTACATAGTCAACATTTGTAGAAAAAGTGAATGAGGGGCTGGGGTTGTGGTTCAGTGGCTTGCCTAGCATGCGTGAGGCACTGGGTTCGATCCCCAGCATCACATAAAAACAAACAAATAAAATAAAGGTATTGCATCCACCTATAACTAAAAAAATATTTTTAAAAAAAAAGAAAAGAAAAAGTGAATGAACCAACCTGACATTTTTTCGAGATATAGCCTGCTGGATTTAACTATTTTATTTCACATATGCTCTGGAATTATATTGAAATTAAGCAACATCTATTCTGAAATAGAAAAAGGAAAATTTTAGAATTTCTCATTTGTTGGTTAAAATATTACATTGTTTCCTCTAGTATTTGGTAACCCTGTATCAGGCAGAGCCTAGGTTGTAAGTTTTTGTTAAAAATGTACATAGGATTATCATTTCTCATGTATTTCATTTTATGTATTGAGCTCAGTAGTTTTAGCTGAGGGGAATCTTTAAAAGGATGCAGATTTTTTAAATGACATAGATTGTCTTGCTAAGCAGCCAGAAAATCATACCAGAAAGTTTGATAAAAGCCTGCTGTTAAGAATACATTAAATTATTTTTATCTTAATGCTAAGTGTTTAGGGAATCTCTTGAATTTATTTTATTTGTCACATCTAATGTTTTGATACATTTTATAACTAAGGGTATATCTACTTATTAAAGGACTGGAAAAGATAACTAATAAGAGGGCCTGAAGATTGTTGGGTTTTATAGCATCTCAGTGTAGCTGAGAAACTGACAACTGTGCTAACGGCAAGATATCTTCCGCACAGTTATCGTGGGACCTGCTAAAATGTGGTCATTGTGAGCAAAGAAAAGGAGCCAGAAGACACTTTTTATAAAGGGCCATTGAAGAAATATGGAGACATTCTTTCATTGCCTGTGGTTACTTAAGTAGACTGCAGTAATATATTTTTTGGAAACGGCTGCTTTTATTGGAGAAAAGTTTAAGGTAGCCTTGAAAATGATTAGTAATTGAACCAATCAACAGGAATTAAAGCTACCACCAATGTACAGTGTACTTCTGCTCAAAAGGAAAAGGCCATTTTATGATAAAACACTAACAATAGTATTTTGTGGTTTGAGTTTTGTTGGTATTATTTTTCTCCTAAGCCTAAAGGTATTGAATTCTATGTGACGTTCAAAATCTTATTTTAAGAATGACAGAAGTCAGCCTTTTTGCATGAAATTATCCTACAAAGTCAAGTTTTAAATGCTTGTTGCTTAGTGGCTCCTTTAACAAATTAACCTACAAGAATCTCTTATGACTGTTTGATTGTAGAGGACATTTGAAGCAGCTTCTATTTTATAACCCTTTGCAGAACTTTGAAGCTCTGTTCAGATAACAATATGCATGGGATTCAAATGGAAAGCATGACACATATCTAGAGAAAATTTCTTTCTCTGTATCTGGGCCTTTTGTGACCTGTGCACTCAATTTTATTCTAGCTGGTATTTGAGCCTAGAAGACAGAGAAGCTGTGAGAACTGAGCTTGATAAGGAGGCAGGGTTGTGATTGAGTAGTAGTCACGTGTCTTCTAGGGCTGGGTGGGAATAACAGGTCAAATAAAGATTTGGGGAACTTGCCACATGATGCTTTCTAAATATTACTGTGATTTCTCTTTTCTGATTCATGTGGATTTGTTACTCAGCTTGACGAATGATGTCTGCTTAGGCTCTGTCTCCCCCTAAACAGAATAGACTTGGGGTTCTAATCTAAAGTGTAGGTAGCTAGAGATTCAAAAACTCTTCAGGTACCTGCAGTATACCTTAAACATAGATTTTTTTCATGATTATTATTATTGTTAATTTTACCATGTTTCATCTATTCATCATTTTGGTGGAGGAAAATTAAATGCAAAATACAACATTGAAAGTATTTTCCCCTTTGCAACAATTACCCATTGATTATTGACACATCAATCTATGTGTATGACACACAGCAAAATTTCAGTCACATATCCTTTTGCTCTCTGCTACTCAGTCTGATTTTAGTTTAACTTTAACAATTTCTTGGTGAAAAGTTAATTTCAATGTTAACATATGCATAAAAAGGTCAATAGAGACTAAAAGGAAATACTGTTAAGGTTATTCATTACATTGTTGTTTCAGAGAAGGTACTGGATACTTGACAATAAACCTAACATTAGAAACAATAATTTATATGATAAATCCCATTGAGTCTTTGTAGTTTATTTTTATTAAAATAGTTTAAAATTTTAAGCATTTTTTTCCATCAGGATTTTGCAAGGGTGTTATTTGTTCAATGTTTATTCTATCCTGTTATTCAGAATGATGGGTCCATATTTCCAGATGTTTTACTAATTTTATGTAAGGTGGAACTTAGTTCTCTTTTTCTCAATATTGCTAATTAGCCAGTTTTGTCCCATCAGCATTATGTGTATCAGTGTTGTGTTGTCCATCTGGGGTGATTTTGCTCATCAAGGGACACTGACAATGTCTAAACACATTTTGATTGACATAACTAGGGGACTGTTACTAACATCTCATAATATAGAGTCCAGGGATTCTGCATAACATTCTGTAATGCACAAAGCATCCCCCACACAAAAACTTACTAGCCCCCAAAGTTAATGATGCCTCAATTGAGAAAGTTGGCGTATGTAACTTCATTCTTTTAAAGTGTAGGGAATAAAGTGTCACCTGTGTATTAAGCATCCACATGTATACTGCCATTACCCTAATTATCCATTGGCTTTTGAAAAGATGTGAGGTGACTTAAAGGAGTTGTTGCTCAGAGGTTCTTCAGTTACAGTGAGTTATCAGTTTGTCTCTGCGCCTTATAGGTTACAGAAATGGCTTCGCATGTGATTGAGTTTATTGACTGATTGAATTCTGTTTCGTTTTATTTTTCAGCACTTAAATATAAATCCAACTGTACAAATAAGAAAATCATCCTTTTACTTATTGCTGGACTACTGCTCACTACAATTGTCATTGTTGGAGCCATTCTCTTTGTCCCAGGTAAGATGTACAGTTGCTATGAGGAAATGCAGGGTCGATGTAAGGGGAACATGGGGGTCAGGGTGTATACATTTCCTAGTGCTGTCTTAGCAGATTATGGCAAACAGAGTGGCTTCCAACAGTAGAAGTTCTCTCACCACTCCGGAGGCCATAAGTCTGGCTGTAAGTCAGGGTGTCACGGGGGCTGCATTCCCTCCCCAGGCTCTAGGGGAGAGTCCATTTCCTGCCTCTTCTAGCTTCTGCATTTGCTGGCAGTGCTTGGCATTCCTTAGCTTGTTTCTTCCCTCATGGTTGCAGTTCCTCTTTCTCCTCTGTCTTCTGCTCTGTGTCTGTGGCAAACTTCCCTCTGTCTCACTCCCTCAAGGACACTTGTCATTGGAATCTGGGCCCACTGGTATAATTCAAGATAAGCTCCTTCAAGATCCTTAACTTAATTGTATCTTTGGCCATATAATGGAACTTGCTTTTATTTTTGCCATATAAGGGGATATTCACAGGTTCTAGGGATTGGAAAGTGGAAATAGCCTCAGGGCCACCATCTTGTATTGACCAAGATGTGGAAGTGGGAAAGAACGTGGGAACCATGTCTGTCTAAAGTGACAGTTGTGTGTGGGGGGATGGGAGTGGGAGTGGGAAAGAAGGGCAGGGAGCACATGAAGAAAAGCAGAGACAGGCTGGGACTCCAAGTGGTGGATTCAGCACACTATTGTGGTTTCTACAGGAGATGGTAGTGTAGGTGTGATGTTTAAAAACATAAATCAGCACCTGTATTTACTTACAGAGGTACTGAGGGCATGGGGAGAAGGAGATAAGTTCAGAAAAGAGCCTGAAAGAGCAGTTGATTTGACTTTGGGACAGATGGAAAATAGCAAAGGAAGGGAATGACAAGAGACGACTACAGAATATCTCATTGGAAATCTGTTAGATAGTTGAGGAGGAGATAGAGCCAATTCAAGGATTTTGCATGTGAGATTTATATTCTTTGTCTCAAAAAATTACTCATTTGAATGAATTTTGGGGAAAACATTTCAGTTTGTAAGAGTATTATTGAGGTTAAAATATTTAATAAAATGAAGTACTTTAACTTGTGAAGAATAGGAAGTATATATGAGAATATTTTAAATGTTTTTATTTATTAACAGGAGAATATTCAGTAAAGAATGCTTCAGGACTTGGTTTCATCGTAATTTCTACAGGGGTATTAATATTACTTCAGTACAATGTGTTTATGACAGGTAGGTATTTGTTCTTACAGAATGATTTTTGTCTCTTTTTTTCATTAAAAAACGGTACTTTTGGTGAAATTTTTCTTATATTTTTTAACAGTTCAATTGAAGTGGTTTATTAAAAGAACTTCCATTACATTCTTAGTGATTTCCCTGCACAGATTGATTTAAGACTATCTTAGATCATTAAGGCAGTTAATTATTTTGTGAATACTGATTTTTGTATTATTTGATGCCAGTTTTTATAATTTAAATTATGCTGCATAGTTTTTAATGATTATCTGCATACTCTGATTTCAGATTTTTATAGTTATAAGTAGGTGTTCAACACATTCTTTATTTGCTAACCCTATACATTAAAAAAGACTAATATTACAAGATGAAGTTATAAATTGCAAATGGTAGAAACATGTTCCTTTTACTTACAGGTAAACCATGGCACAACTATAATCAGCATTGTTCTCTCTGCATTTTAAAAGCAAATTGCTTACCTATTTTGGTTATAATTAAAGAGTCACATTTAACACTGGACCTTAGGGCCTCTCTCTGGCTCACTGTACATAGTAAATGCATCCATTCACTATAAAACCACAGGTCAAGATGCACAAGATAGAGGAGGTCACGATGCTTGCAGTCATGTTTGCAGAGTGGTTCGCTCCACTAGAGAAATTTCTGTGCATGTGGAGAAGCCATGCCAGATAGCCATTTATGGATAAAAGCGTACAAGTGTGGTCAAAGCAGGATTGATCTAGGATTTAGGGTAAAAACCACCAGTCCTGCTCAGACTCCTGCGACAGTAAAGGGCTACTGAATGTGTGGGTCTGGAGCTGACTTGTGTGGAAGGTTAGGCTCTGGAAAAGAGTCCACCATCTAACAAGTGCAGTCAGTCATTGGGCATAGGATGTTGCTCTTGGTTTCACCAGACGCAGGCAGGAGTGATTGCTTCATCGGTATCCTCAAGGTACTTCTCTCTATCCCTTTCCTTCCTCTAGCTTTTGGGATGACCTCCTTTACCATTGCCATATTGATCACTCAGGTGTTGGGCTATGTGCTCGCTGTGGTTGGACTATGTCTCTGTATCATGGGTAAGAGTCTCATTCTCCTGTATTCCCAGTTTGAATTTTTCTTGAACAGAGCTCTTCTTTCTTTTTCTTTTTTTTTTTTTTTTTTTTTTTAAGAGCAGTTTTTAGATCCACAGAAAAATTGAGTGGAAAGTGCCATAGGGTTTCTGGGTACTCCCTGCCCCTTTGGCATGCTCCACACAGTCACAGTTTCCCTCCACGTCCCATACTAGAGTGGCACGTTTGTTACAACTGATGAACCAATGTTGACACATCATTATCACCCAAAGTTCATAGCTTACATTGCAGATCACTCTTGGTGTTGCACATTCTATGGCTATTACAAATGTGTAATGACATGCATCCCCCAATGTAGTGTCATACAGAATATTTTCAATGCTCTAAAAATCCCTTGTGCTCCATTTGTTCATCTCTCTCTCCCTGCAAATCCCTGGCGACACTGACTTTGTTACTATCTCCATAGTTTTACATTTTCTAGAATATCTTAGAGTTGGAATCTCATAGTATATAGCCTTTTCATATGGGCTGCTTTAACTTAGAAACATGAATTTACATTCCCTTCATGTCTTTTCATAGCTTGATAGCTTATTTCTTTTTAACACTAACTACTAGTCCATTGTGTGGATATACCATTGTTTATGTGTGAAAGAACATCTGGGTTGCATTCCATTTTGGGGGGACTATGAATAAAGCTACTACAAATACCAGATGCATGTTTTGTGTGGCATAATTCAACTCCATTTGGGTAAATATCAAGGAGTGCAATTCCTGGATTATATGTTAAGTTATGGTTAATTTTTTAATAAACTGCTCAACTCACCATTTTACACTCTCATAAACAATGAAAAAGACTTACTGTTTCTCCACATATTTGCCAATATTTGGTATTGTGAACATTTCTTTTTTAACTCCTATTTTTTCTCCAAGGAAATACTGGAGGAAAAAATACTTTTTTTTTATTGCTATGAATGTTGGCTATATGTGGCTTATGGGCTGATTGTTTCAGCAGACAAACTTTTATACCTGTAATTATGGAAGAACTTTTAAAATAACCAGGCTCTAGTTGACTGAAGTCTTAGACTTTACATGCTATTTTACATTAGTCTTCATATGATAAGATAAGATGTGTGTTGTGCAAAAGAGGGCTTTTCTTATTATAATTTGGAGTTATTTCAGTGACCGAGTTAATAATAATGAAAATAATTTTATTCTGTATATATGTAGATAATTTTTATTGATTATTAGAACAAGAATTACTCTCCTAAAATTTGACATTATTAGTTCTTGTTGATTTCTTTTTAATATTCAGTTATTTTATAGGCATTTCTAATAGAAATTTTCATTTGTTTTTACAGCGTGTATACCAGTGCATGGCCCTCTTCTGATTTCAGGTTTGGGTATCATAGCTCTAGCAGAATTACTTGGACTAGTTTATATGAAGTTTGTGGGTAAGTTAGTCCTATTTTTATTAGCTTATGTCAATAATTTCAGATATATACCTTGAAAAATGCTTTTAGTTGGTTCTTCCAGAAATGTATTGATAACTCCAAAAATGAGAAAATACAGTTAAAATGAGGCTCATTAAAGAGGGTGGAAGGCATATGAATTAATGAAGAGTTTGGATTGTGAACTACTTTAAAAGAAAATGGCTTTCTTTCTGTATTAGAATGTATAGATTTTTTTGTGTGTGTGTATCCTAAGCAAAGGGAGAGATCTCTGAAGGATCCATTTTAATTAATAGAACAGGGTTTTTAATTGTTCATTATTCCTGTGATTTAGCTCTTTTGCAGAAACCTGTATGTCACTTGCCATTCTTCTTGTGTACTGTGTATACACAGGGACTCCCCTAATGTGTCAGGAACTGAAAATCAAAGTCTTTTACTTTTGTATTTAATAATGTGATGACCTCCAATGCACACATTTAAAATATTTTTGGTAAAAACCAATATAATAAAAGCAGTAACTTTTTAAACTTAGGATTTTACCACTCTTAAAATAAATTCATAATATGTATATGGAATCAGCTTCAATTTTTTTCTAACCTTGGTATTTAATCTGCCAGTTTTCAAACAACAGGTTTCTGCATACATTCTTATTTTAAACACACACACACAGAGAGAGAGAGAGAGAGAGAGAGAGAAAGTGGTCATTCGCTTTTAATGGTGTCTAACACTAGGATTGTTTTTATCTAAGCTAGTGATGTTGCCTTCAATCTGGTTTGTAGCAGCTTCCATTTTAAAAAAAAAATCTGATTTTTATTTATAAAGTAAAGCAAACTCTTCACCACCTATCAAAAGAATCAATAGTTGCAAATTAATAGTATAGAAAAGTCAGTATTTCTGCTTTTCAATAGGTGAAACTTACTGTTTGTTTTTAAATTAATAGAATTGATAGAGTCAAGAAGCTTCCCATATAGCTTGCATAATACTTTAAAAAAATAATTTACCTTTCTTTCTGAATTTCAGCTTCTGATGACCTATAATTAATTTGGTTCTGTTATATATTGTCTGTCCCCTTTAATTAATGCTTATTAGATAAACAACTAAAATACATTATCAAAATCTACCTATTTTTAGTTTATTTGTTCTTGAGTCTTAGTTGTACCTCAATGAAATTTCCCAATTTCATGCCACATAAGTTTATAAAACACAAAACATCTAAAAGGCCAGGTATAGTGGTGCATACCTGTAATCCCAGCTATTTAGGAGGCTAAGATAGGATTGTAAGTTTGAGGCCAGCCTGGGCAACTTAAAAAGACCCCCAACCTCTAAACAAATAAATAAGAAAGACACCTAAAGCAGACTGGCATTTGCGTGGTTGCTATGGTGAATGTCTTATTGGTGATGCTAGTCTACCCTGGTTAAATCTTCCAGTCACCATGTGTCTGATTCTTAAGGGGTGGCCCTGCTGATTTCGTTGCCTCACGCAGCATGCAACCTGTAGTACTCACAGGTGTCACTGACTGACTCTCGGCTCCGTGTTCTTGCTTTTCCCTCACTATCTGTATTGCCCCCTCTTGTTCCCTTGCTTGCCCTTGCCTTCCATCTCTGGCAGGTGTTCAGCACAGTTGCCATCAGGTCTGGAGATGCTGCCTCAAGTTTAGTGGACACTGCTTAGCTGCCACCTTTTGGCCTTGCTCTCCCGCTCTTTCCATTGCTTACATCCCTAAGAAGCCTGTGAAACCACTATCATTAAAAATGTCACTGTTCTAAATTAAAATGAAAGTCCCTAGACGGACCCCAGGTTATTTTTCTTTATCATACTTTATTGTATAAATATACTATATTGATTTTAAGAATTTAGTTCAATTTTGTTGATATTTTGAGAATATCCTAAATTAACTTTTCAAATCAACTTGTCTGATGCCAGAGTGCAGAGAGAGACCTTCGGTCAGTTGAAAGGCAAGAAGAGAAAAGGTACAGGAAAGTTGCTTTTTGGATAATGTGGTAGACTAGGAAGATTAATGTGTTTTGCTTATATAAATTTGTTTAAATCTGAATATATATAGCATTAATGTTGCAAATTGGTATCAGGAAGTAAAAATTGTAAATATTTCAAAAATAATTTTTACTCATTGCAGATGCACTATTTTAGAAATGAATGCATCTTGATTTAAATGTAATAAAAGCCTCAGATCATTAAAAAAAAAAAAAAGCCCTATAAGAGTGAGTTAAAAGTGAGAATTTTAATTTTTTTATTTTTCATTATTCACAAATGTAAATTTTATAGCCTTGTTATTTTGAAGAATAGGATTTTGACTTTCACTAAGTCCTTTTTATTGCATTTTTTCTTATTACTGAAAGCATTTTAGTTTTTTAAAGTGAGATAAGACACTATGAACAATAATATGAAAAGATTAAAAGGAGCCGGCTAAACTCACTAAAGTTGAACTTGTTAGTATAATGGATGCTTATGTCTGTTATATGTAAGGGTAAAAGCACTTGTTTGTTTTAAAAGCCATTACCACTTAGTTTAATATGAGGTCATATAATTTGTTTTGAACAATTAGCCTCATTAAAGTCAGAAACATATTTACCACACATCTCAGATATTTTAGAATGCTACAGAAGCACAATATCTGTCAGTCAATAGATATTTGTGTTTGTTTAAATATTCAGATGTATTTTCTGGCCATTGTTGAGGAAAAGTGTTTATGGTATCACTATAAAAAGTGTTTCTGAAAAATTTGAAACATGGAAATATGTTTATGTCAAGTGATCAGGTGTTTTAGATAACAATTAATGCAGAAGATTTAATCAAGTCAGCCCAGATAGAATGTTTAAGGCTTTTAATTAAAAAAAAAAAAAAAAAAAAAAATCTGGCCTTTGCTCATGATAGCAGATTAGTCATGATCATTCTTTTGGCTCATGTGTTGTAGCCCCATTGGACGGTATTAACTCAGGTGAAGTTAACACCTGCATTGTTTACTTTTATACTCTTAGAGGTATCACAACTGATTGCTGTCCTTTTGAATCACTGTTATTCATAGATTTCTATTTTCAGAATGGTCTAGACAAATGTGACATTTCTTGCTCATGGGAATTAGAATTTTAGACTATTCTTTATATGTAATGGGGGGGGGAGTTCTTAGCTATTCTTAATACTAATTCTGATGAGCCCAAAAATAGAACTCTAAAATATTGTCTCTGACCACCCCCTCATGTTTGTTACCAATCAAAAATTTAGATAGCTGTTTAGTTCTATTGTCCTTTATAAAACTTAGATGTAAGCTGGGTACATTGGCACATGCCTGTAATCCCAGCAGCTCAGGAAGCTGAAGCAGGAGGATTGCAAGTTTGAGGCCAGCCTCATCAACTTAGCAAGGCTCTATGCAACTTAGTAAGACCCTGTCTCAATGTAAAAAAAAGGGCGGGGGGGGGGGGGGGGTGGGGATGTGGCTCAGTGGGAAAGAAACAAACAAACAAAAAATCCTTAGAAATAAGGCATGGTTTAGTTGAAGTAAGCTGTCTATTCATGACACTCTCCTGATATCCCCAACAAAATTATGAAATTCTGCTTATTTATTTGGGAAGCTGCTAAATGGAATGTATCGAAACCATTTCATTCTATATCCTTTAAAGAGGCTGCTTTCATGTTGGGACACAAGTGAGGGAGGTCAGTGTCGACCCACATGTCGCACTAGCAGAGGATGTCCAGAGTGCAGACAGATAATAGGCCTCACAGGGTGGGGGAGTGTTCAGTTTGGCAGCTAGACAGCTCCAGCACCTTTCCTCTTACTGGTTCATCACTCCCCCCTTAGCAACAAGAGTTAGTTGGTGTCTTTTCTGTCTGCTATGGTTCCTGAGTTCCTCTGCCTTTGGCTCTTCTCCTGTTAGCCAGGTAGCTCAGCCTCTCCATTGTGTCCCCGTTTTTTTATCCTAATCACGTCTTCCCAGTGATAGCTTTTCTTACCTATCACTCTGAGCTTTGAGTTCTCATTTACTTTGTTTCTTTTCCATTTTCCCTTCCCATCACCAGCTTTCTAGTCTTTTCTTCTGTTTTCCCTTTGGATTCCAGGGGGAGTGAGAATCTTACCTGGCCAGTCAGGTACCATTTTCCTATTTGAGTGAGCCTTGTCGGCTAGCCTCTAGATTGGCTGACCTTGGGTCAGAACCCACCCCATTTCCCATCAGCTGTAGAAGCTTGATAGGTTTGGGGTGAGGAGTGGTAGGAGATAAATAGCATGGAGAAGGAAAGCTGTACTGGGGCTGCCTGTCTGCTGATGAGCAAGTCCAGTGCTGTCATCCAGTCCAGGTCACAGTGGAGTCCTGTCAGTCCCAACACATTTTCTTTCCATTACTGAGTTGAGTTCACATGGCTTGAAAATGATTCTGTTTCACTCCCATCTCTTGTTTAATGGTATGATTTATTGTGTTGCTACTTCCATGTTTAATATTTTTTGTGAGAAATCAGAATTTCTTAAACTGAGAGAGAAATGAGAAACTCTGTTAAGAAAGAAAGAAAGAACAGTAAGAGAATATAATACAGTAGGAAAACCCTACTCCTGGATGACCCGGCAATGTTGCTAGCTGACATTTTGAAACTGTGGGACCGTGCTTGGTATGAAGGACTTAGCTGCTCTTGGGCATCCTCTTTGGTTTTTCAAGGCAGTCCTCTCTCTCCCCTACCCAACTAAAGTACCTCCTTTCTCTTTTGTCCTTTTCTTCCTGCCTTGTATTCCTTCATCTTTCTTAATTCTCCAGTAGGAAACTGAAAAGGGCAACTCAAAAGCTAAGAAGGAGTTATATAGGGGAGGGCTTGAGTGTGGCTGCCTCTAGCTGCCTAGAATAAATTTTTAAGCATAGAGGAGTATGAATGTTTATTTTATTAGCCATTTGAAGCTTTGAAAGCTGAGAAGGTTTTGAAGGAGGTGGGAAGATTGGGCTACGGGGAATGAGAGCAAGGAGCCAAAGAACGTGGAGTAGAGGGGACACCAGTCATTGCCACATTCTGACATGTCCTGCCTGGGTGGAATAGGAAGAGATGGCGAGCCCATGGTAGGGATGATGGATGACAGCATTTTTCCACCAAGAAGTGTAGCAAATGGCTGATTTGGGGGGCGAGATGGCATGCACAAATGAGAGAACATGTGTGTTTATTATCTGATATAGGTGGGTCAACGCTTCATTTTCTTCTCTCAATGCATATAATCAAGAATATTCTGTATTTTTGAATAGACTATCACAGCTAGAACTCCTTCATTGGAGTCTCTGGCACCCTCTAGTTTTAGCCCTGAACATTTTATCTTAAAAATAAACATTTCATTGCCTTAATTTGTTTCATTTATTAAATTAATATTCTTATTTTTTTATTTATATCAGCTTCTAATCAGAGGACTATACAAGCTCCTAGGGTAAGTTAAAGTTTATTAAATGAATTGGGAATGATCTCTTGGTGGGTTAGACTGAGGAGTGATAATTGGAATATTGAACTATTTTGCTCTCTGTTTCATGTAACATCAAATTAAGAAAATGTTGAAGTCGTTTCATGACCTTTGTGTGAATGGGTCCAATTCTATTTTAAAACATATGTTTGCTCATTTAAGTATTAATGGGGTAGAATAAATTATTATATAAAATTGTACTGACTTCTCATATCCAGAATTGGAAAGTTTATGAGTAGGAATAATGGTTATTATCTCTTCCATCAGAAGGAAGCTGATTCCAATATATTACCTCACCTTTTGGATCCATTTGATGTAAATACACAAAACGATAGTTTCAGGCTTAATGAGGAAGAGAAATTTATATTAAATTGACATCATTAAAATCATAATTTATAAAATGAATGTAAATATTGCTGAAAAATCTGAGTTACTATCTACCCCACACCATTTTATAAACATTTTTCTTCCTGAAAACTATACTGCAGGTTTCACCGTACTTTGGATATTTTAATAAGCTCTCTGAGAAAATTCCAAAAAAAAGGAACAAATTTAGGAGGGGATGAATGAGGAGAAAACTATCTTGATAAATATAGACTCATCACAATGACAGACCCAGAGCTCTTTTATGGAAATAAGATCTAGAGAGGACTATATTATACTCAGCTTCCTATAAAGACTGATGATGGATCTAGTTGGAATCCCAGAGAGAGTCTCCTGTCTGTGGCAGGAAGTGCTCCTGAGTCTGAGGAGCCTCCGCAGGCATGCCAAAGGGGCAGGCTGGCTCAGGGTGTGTTTGTTTCACCTCGGCTGTTTATTCTAAAAAGATCACTGCCATAGCTACCTGGTCACAAGCAGCCAGCGGTTTCTAAAGTGCCTCTTAATAAAAAACCCAACCGCTGTACCTTTAAATCCTAACAGTTTTCTTTCTCCCATTGCTGAGTTCATTTTGCCAACTTGAAAATGATTCTGATTTGCTCCATTCTCTTGCTTAACTGTATTATTTGTTCTGCTATTGCTGTGTACATACTTGCACTTCAATATTTTTGTGAGAAGTTAGGATTTTCTGAACTGAGTAAGGTGGGTGTGGTAGGAAATTCTGCATAGGAAAAGCATATTAAGAGAATAATACAATTATTACCAAACTACCAGCTCAACTTGGCGAGCTTTGCTTCAGCCCTTACTGCCTTATTTTGGTTTTAGATGAAAGGATTCACTGTTTACTGTATAGTTTAATGTTAGAATATGTAAGTTTTAGTATATAAGGACATGAAACAAATTATATTTTATGTAAATATATTTTAAATATTTTACAGAAAGCTGTAGAGGAACCACTTAATGGTATGTAGTTATTACAAACTTGTATATTCTTGATCTATTATCAGATCATAATTTGAAATGGCCCTTGAAAAAGTTAGAATGCCCATCTATTTCTTGAGAGGGGTCTAGGGTTTGGTTTGGTTTGGTTTTTCCCTTGCATTGTCCTCTTTTTCTTTGCTTATTCATTAAGAATCAGGAGTATTGCTTTTGTAATATTCTCACCTCTGGGAAAAAAAGGATCATGCTTTGTCCCTCAAGGAGTTGGTTTACCTTAGCCAAGTGGTATTTGGGCAAGAACACCATTGCCCTTTTATGTGGGGCCAAAATGAAAAGTGCCATGGCACCCCCCTTAGAGGAGAATCTTATTCCCAATTTCTAATTTGTAAACTTCAGAAAAATGCAGGTCATCACTATGTAGTGAAACCAGACCAGAACATTTTGTTGTCTATGTAGATCTGAAACTGTATTCCCAACTGAATCTGTTTCCCTAGTGGATACTGTAGGTGTGAAGCACAGAAATGCTTTGCAATAAAAATGATAGTCTTAAAGTTCATTTGGCTGTGTAATTGTAGAATAGTTGGCATGCTGTTGCTGCATGTTTGTTTTGAAATGATTTCTAATTGTGGATCCTTACTAACTGCCTCTTTGGCTTGTTACTAACCCTTAGCGTTTAAAGAATCAAAAGGAATGATGAATGATGGTAAGTATAAAATATTCCTGTAATTATAGATTGATTGAAATGTGGATATTGAAAAGAAATAAAAATACTTCTTGAAAATATGACTTTCTTAAATAAAAGGGACACTGTCAAATCATAAAAGTCCACCTTTCTTGATGGATAAAACTTAAATCTGTTTTGCTAAAAAACTTAAACATAAGAGTTGTAGGGCCTCAAGAATCAGAGTCCACAGTCACATGGCTCAGAGCAAAGTGAAATCGCCCCTTTTTGTAAGACATGTTTCAGATTCAGCACCTGGTATCTAACTTTAAAAATGCTTTTTATAAGGCACAGACATAATCTGGCACAAATCTTTATCATTTTTGACAGAGTCTCTTTTATGCTTGTGTTGGTGATTTTGTGGCATCTCAACCATGGGGACTTAATATCTCTATTTTTCCAAGCAGGAGCTGGTTCTGACCTTTTGGTAGAGGGTTACAGAGAAAGGCAAAGAACAATGTTTAGTCACTCCCACTTTCACTTCTATTTTTGGAACTCTAGACTAATATAACCTCTAATCTTCATGGAATACTTCAAAGACCTGGATTTGTTAAATTTTAAAGATAACCAAATCTGAAACATCAAGTGCTGCTAGCGTTCATTTTGGTTTTCCCTGCATATGCTGCAATCTTCAGGTCCACTGGCATTTAGTAACTGTGTTTATATTTTTTCCTTATTTCCAAAAATGTCTTCACATCTTCGATATTTGCAATCATTCCCTGATTATGTCAGTGATTTGCTTTACAGTTTCAAAAGCCTATGACCTGCCCACTCACCTCTAAACAGCACAGCATTTAACACAGGAGGGTTTGTTCCCCTGGTTACAATAAACTTTTGCATAAGATTCAAACACTCCAGTCATTGTTGAACCAAATTTAAAACAATGTTTAGGCTTCTGTTCACCCAGGAGCCACTGAATGATCCCATTTCTGTAGGTTTGTACCACAGCCTTTAAATCAGGTTTTGTTATGCAAGTCCCTAGCTCCTAAAACAATTATAGTTAGTAGGAAGAAATTAAAAGACATTTGAAAAGATCCGTATCTGGAATTATGGCACCTTTATTCATGCTTAAATTCTGGCTTCTCAACTCCTTTGTTCTCTCCTACTGTGGTGTCATTCTGTAGGAAGAAACTAAACTTTTCTCCATTTTCAGAAAACCAGTATAAGATCCTTGAGTGGCATCTTTCTTTGTGAACTTTCCCTTAAAATATAACTTTTGCCTTGAATTTTTGTTTGTTCATAGCAGATGAAATCTATGATGGCCTTTGAAATGTGCTTAATTTTGTTAATATTAGCTGGTCAGAGTTTGTTTTCTGGATGTCTCTCTGGCGGGTTCTGTCTGCTGACACCCGCCTGATTGATGCTCCTAGCATATCTACCCTTCTGGAAAGAGGTCCCCGTCCCTGCCTAGGGTGTTCCTCCTACCTGTACCTATCATGTTTATTTCACTTACATTAGACAAATTGTGTAGATTTAAAGTGAATGTAATGGAATATTATTCTAGGATTAGTATTCTTTTCTTTGAAATATCAATATTTTGGCTTCTTTAACTCAGCCAACAAAGGGAGATCATCAGACTATTGATTTTTATTTTCATTTGGCATTGACTGCATTTTATTTACCAAAACTGAAAAGGCTAATGATTTGCCTGGTTTCTGTCTATGGCCTTTGTAGACACATTTTCTTTATTTTGAAGATACTGTGTATCTAAAAAACAGTTCCAAATTTTAAAAATGCATCAACTTCTTAATGCACAGGAAATAGACATGAGCAGTGACCATATGTTCGTGTTTCAATTTTCCAGAGTAACTGAAGTGAAGTGAAGGACTCTGGTTTGGAGAGTCATGGAACCTGAAGGAGTACACTTGTATTTAAAGACCCCGGCCTTGATGATTCACTCTTGGGAAGAAGAAGAAAAAAAAAAAAAGAAAAGTAACTGGTACTCGTCTGTAAGAGAAAATAAGTCATTGACCCGTAAATGATTATCACAGTTTTTATTCAAAACAACTGTAATTTAGTTAATAAAAGATTTATGATCTGTGTCGTGTGCCCGGTTGAGATCCAATTTTCTGTTATTTCTATTTAATTGGGGACAAAAGTAGAGGGAGCAACTTCCAAGGATGATACTTTCCATATCCTCGGGCCTCTGGACTCTGGGTTTAAATTGGTTCAGGGTGAGAATGACCTAACACTAACCTGATGGTCACCCAGAAACATCTGTGAAAATCAGTGGCTTCCATCCAAGCTTAGTAAACTCAGGTTCCCAGCATCCATGGCAGTTAGGCTGTTAGCTGAATAAGGTGTCTGCCACTTCTGGGTCGGGAATAGTGACTTAAGTGGAGACAGGAATTTGGTTGGGAACATCATGTATGCCACTTACCTGTGCTATGACGTCAATGGATATAGGGGTCTTCATTCTTGGGGGTTGCCATTCGCACAGTGTCCCTTCAGCCTACAGTGTGACAGATACTTCCCAGATATGGGTTGCTTTTATTGACGGGTGTGTTTTTCTTTAATTTACACAACCCTTGGGACCCTTCCTTGCCCTCCTCTGACTCGCTTCTGCTGTACCCGATGTAGCACCTTTTCTCCTCTCTGAACGTGGTCCAGTGACGCAGTAGCATCAGTTGCAGAAAGGAGCCAGACTTGTTTTCAGAGCACTGTGTTCACACTTTTCGGCAAAAATAGCTATGGTTGTAACATATGTATTCCCTTCCTCTGGTTTGAAGGCAAAACTCTACGGTGTTTCTTCACTTATTTTCTGATTGGAGGCATGACAAAAGCAAGACTGAAATCTGAACTATGAGTCTCCTGCATGGCAACCTTCTGTGTGTCTCCATCAGGCCGTGGGCCAGCCCTCGAGGGAGGCGCTCCTCCTGTTGTGTCTCTGTTGCATGATAACCACTCATCTGCTTCCTCCTGTAGTCCTGCCTCCTGCTCCCCCTCCCCTGAGATTGAAAAGTAAAACAGAACCACATTTCCTACCCCAGTTAGAAGAAAAAAATAACGTTCTGACAGTGTGATCGCCTGGAGTACTTTTAGATTCTTAGCACTCGTTTTTTACCTCGTTTGTGGATGTGTGTTTGTATGTGCACATGTATAAGGTAGGCTCCTGCTGCTTCTGTAGGGACAGAAGTGCTGTACCTACAGGAGAGCCAGTGCTGACTTTGTGCTTTTAGTAAAAACATTTAAAAACAAAAGGTCCTTATCAGGTGGAATTATATTTGATGCAAATATTTGATCACTTAAAACTTTAAAAACTTCTAGGTAATTCGCCAAGCTTTTTGACTGCTCACCAGTGCCCTCTAAAAATACTAGTGATTCTTCCTGTTTGTGTAATGAGACTTTCATATTCGTAGTGCCATCACTGATAGTTATTTCTTAGTCTCCTGGATGTTTCCATGTGCCTCTTTTATGCCAAATTTATTGTCATATTTCACTTTGGGACCAAGTGGTTTGCCCATGGCAGACCTAAACTTATAACCTGCTGAGGCCCCTCAGAAAATTGAACATACTATCAAAACAGTTCTTCCCTGATTGAGTAGCTGTCCAAAATATTAGTCTATGGAGAGGGAGTTATACAAATCTAATGGCTCCTGCTGCTCTTCTCCTGAAAATATTTGCACTTTGCTAATATCGTTTGTTACTTTAGAAATTAGTTTTGATGAAAAGAGCAAAAAAAGCAGATGGACTTGAAAAAGATCCAAATTCTTATTCTCCATTAAGAAAATCAGGTATGAAAATCTTTATAGTCAAATTTTTTAATGAACTAAAGTTGTACCTTTTAATATGTTGTAAACTCTCCTTTATTTGGGGTTCAGTCTCGAGTCTGACCATCTGTTGTGTTCTCTTTGATGCTGCCTGCCTTTTGAGGTGTTCACTGCCCCAGACAATGCCACTCGAGGTAGCAGGGGAAATGCCAGATGCAATCAACTCTTGCTCTTAACCATCCTCTTCTCCAGCTAAGGGACCACAGCAGCAGCAGTCCTTCTGCCTGGGCATCATTGGGACAGTTTATTCTCTTTAAATCAGACTTGTAATGGCTCCCAATTCTGTCACATCAGATATAACTTGCTAACAGTGTTTTGAGCATCATAGATTGTTTTGCCCCATAAGATGCTTTTTACTCCCTGATCCCAATTTTTGCCATCATCTTCTCCATTCGGTTTTATTTATTCTACATTCTCAAAGTGACACCATTTGTCATTTTCTGCAACAACCTTTTCAGCCTTTTTGGCCAAATCACATTTTTCTTTTCCTTCAATACATACTGCTCCAGCCCTTCCTCCCCCACTGGCTGTCCTTTGCAGTCTGTCCTCATCTGTCTAGCAGCCTCTTTCATCTCTTTCTTACCCTTCCTTAGTACTTCATTTATCTTGGCTTTAGTTATGTTGGGGTTTTTTGTCTTGCTTTTCTCACTGGATTTTAAAATTGCTTCCATAGCAAGAGCTTCTCTCTCTTCCTTTCTCTCTTGCTGCTGTGTGCGGTGTTCTGCGGACATTAGATACTCCGTACATAAATTTGATGATTGGCTGTATTTCGATTTCTCACTATTTTTAATAGGGTGAGCTAGAGACTTTTCTTTTTTGACAAATTGCACATGCTCGGAAAACCTTAAAGGGAAATGATTTTTTTTTAACCTGGAAATTTCAGGTCCATTCTGTTAAAAATTCTTGAGAATATCAGAGTTAATTTGGCTATCCCATAATTGGGAATATTGCTCTTTTCAGACTTCTCTTGCCAATTTAGTAAGTGTCCGACCGAATTGTGATCTAATAAAGCTCAAAAAGTGATAAGTTTGCTCCTTCATCTCATTAATTTAAAAAAGGCTACATCACCTTCTAGATGTCTCTCATCTTACAAAGGGTGTTCAAAAGTGGCGATAGGTGGTTTATGTCTGGAAATACATACCTTTATTTACCTCTTGTTGGAAACTGGAGAAATAATTGTCTGGCTACTCTTTACATTTTCTTTGTGTTTTATTTGATTGAGGGTTTATTTAGAAATATTAGTTTTGCATGTGTGTCTTATATTCAAAATCACTAACTGCCATCACCCACTGGGGGTCCTTTTAGTTTAATAGGGATAATCCAAGTTAACTTTGAAGAGATGAGCAGTGACCAGGAAGTTTTCCTGCCTTTAACTTTGATAGCTCTTAATTATGATCCTGTAAGACCAGCTTTTCCATAAATCCAGTCTTTTAAGGAAAAAAATAAAGCAAGCCTTTGTAATAAGCTTCTCTGTAAGACAACAGCAGTGGAATCTTCAAAGTGTTGTTATCAAGATTGTTGAGAGAGGGAAACATTTGTGTTTTTATTAAATGAAGCATTATTTGCAAAAAGCCATTGTTAAGAAGTAGATCCTGCATCATATAAATATCCATTAACCATTCTCAATAAAGAGAACTCCGGTGTTGCTATGTGTTAGATGCTCTCTTGGGGGCTTTTTTGCATAGCAATTAAAGTTGTGCTCTTTGTCAGTAGCCATTTTTTTGCAGTGATTTAAAGACCAAAGTTGTTTTACAGCTGTGTTACTGTTAAAGGTTTTTTCTTTTTTTTTATATGTATTAAATCAATTTATCACTGTTTGAAGCTTTGAATATCTGCAACCTTTGCCAAGGTTCTTTTTTTATTTAAAAAAGACATAACTTTGTAAATATTACCCTGTAATATTATATATACTTAATAAAACATTTTAAGCTATTTTGTTGGGCTGTTTCTATTCCGACAGCAGACCACATGAACATTTCTGAGAAATTTAGTTCATTAATATACCTTCAGTTTGTCCATATTCTATGTAACAATGCAAAGATTTTTTTTTAATGTAGTACCCAATACATAAACTTTTAGCTGGAGCAAAGTTCTAATTAGAAGTTGTAAGAAGTCAAATGTATTTGATAATTTTTAATTAATTTTCCCCATGGTATAGTGAAAACATCACATGAGAAAGAAAGAGACCTGGATTCTAGTCCTGGCAATACTACTAACTAGCAGAGGACCTGGGCAAGCCTCTTGCCTGTGCCACAGTGACTGTGATTGCCTATGGAATAAGATAAGCCTCTGCCAGGACTGAACTATTATGTTATCCATTTTAATTGGTTGTTAGGATTATTTTTACTGCAAGTGAAAGAAAATACACACACACACTCTAATGTAGCCAAAAAATTCAGATGCACAACTGGATTCTGGACTTCCAAACCAAATCATAGGGAACCAGTATCTCATCAGCCTCCCACTTTTCTCACCTCCATATGGCCTTCCTTCCCAGGTTTCTGCGGTGGTAAATGACTAACTGTAGTCCCAGACCCACCTTTTCCTAGTCAAGGAGAATAGAGGGTGAAAGGAAAACAAAGGGGTCCTGTCCACTTGAGATTGCACCTAGGGCCTCTGACTGTATCAATGCCATCTCTGGATCACTGAGACTTGCTGTGACTGGACCAGCCTAACTTCCAGATCTAGCCTTCAGTAGAGGCTGTATCTGCAGCACCCACACAGTGCTGAGTGGGGGTGGAAGGCAAGGACAAGTTCACCTGAAGCAAAGATAGGGGATGGTTCCTAGGTGCTGAGATGTCATTAGATTTGAGGCACAGGATTCCTAATCAGTGCTGCATCCCTTCAGATTTATATTCTATGATTCTGCATTTTATGTGTGATTGTAGACCATGTGAATGGAAAATAACATTCAGCAGCAGAGTACCATCTCTTTCCTTACCTCATAGGCAATTTAATTTTTTATGCATTTACGAGGACGTTTTCATTCTCAGCAGGAGTAACTAATGGGGTTCAGAAAGCATTTAATGACCTACCTCCTGCACTGAAAACTGCTCTCTCTTGCACAGAACTGTACTCAGCCTGATTAGAACTCCCACGGAGCTGTAGGCTTCCAAATGCAGCTGGATTTCACTTTTGTGTGGCACCTTTCCATCCCAAGGCATCAGGTTTGACAACTTTGGTAAACAGTAGGTTATGGTAACATCATCCAGGTAGGACATGATTTTGGCAGTAGCTTGGGGATTTGAGTGGCAGTGTTTGGCTATTTCAGAACTCACA